ACCCTTCCCATAGTTTAAATATCATATTATTATTCTGTTAGTATTATGCCTTCCCTGCCAATAGTGCCCCTCTCAATATGGCCACAACTGATAGGATTCCTTGCTCCCTCTAAGATGGCTGCTACCTATTCCTATGGCCGTCATTTGCGGCTGTTAAACTACACCTCCCATGAGGCTTTGCGGCAAAACGTCCGAAAACCGGAAGTGCCACACGTTCATTTTAAAACGCTTAATTTAAGTCTTTTTAAGCCTCGTTTTTATTATTCATGTATTCCATCCATGTCTATACAACATATACTTTGTTTTATATGTGTTCTTTATGTCTTTTAATATTCGCCATAAAAATCTGAATTCTGATTGGACGAATCAATTTTGGCGCCAAATTTGAATCACTCACACTCCTATATAATACAAACTAAGCCAGGTATTGTATGCTATTCCATTTTGATAAAGTCCTTTGACGAAACGCGTTATGGATATGTTATATTGTGTATTTTAAATATTAAAAGTAATTTTTGGTGATTCATTTGCTCCAAATTTTCTTTTTTAAAGTTTTATATACACATTCTCTTACCTGGCTTTTTACTATTATTCCATTATTTTTTAGTATTTTATCTATTAGTATTTTACCTTTTTATATTCCTCTTTGGGACTTTTAACAGGAAGTATCCAGTATTTCAAAGAAATCCAGAGGTGGGGATCAATCCACCTAGGCTGATATACAAGAGCAGTCGGTCTGCTCCTCACTTGTAATTACGTTTTTATCTATTTATATTAAGACTACTATACAGTGAGCACTATCGACTGTCTCTTCTTTTTCGTATTTGAGAGTCGGACACTACAGACGGAGAGATACCCACGACATATCCTACAAGCGGGGATTAAACCGCTGTATGCGCTTTTATCCTAGAGCTGGACATAAGCTCTACCAAATGTGAGTTCTCTACTATTAATTCTAAGTACGTCACTATTGGAATTATACAATATTGCACTATTGGTCGTCCCTCTCTCTCTTTTTTGTCTTCTACATAAGCGGAACTAATACAGTCTATGAAGACTCCACTATTGCACTTTCCGTTATAAAGACCATCCAGAAGGACACTTAAGTTGGACTTTTCTTTTTATATTGGACTTTTTATTGCATTTATCTTACTTTTTATTGTGGCGCAGCCTTTTTTATTGTTGTTTTAACCTTTATGTAACGAACGTATGAGCTAGTCCCAAGGACCTGATGGCTAGAGCCAGATTAAGAGCCTGGTTCTGACAATTAGAATGGGCCTAATTACAAAATCTTATCGACCAAAAACACTAAAACAGTCCTACCTCCCAAGAGTCATGTATCAGATGGAGATGGTGCTAGAGGGAATCTCATAGGATGCAGCTATGAGAATACACATACCCTATGCTAATCTCATGCTTTCACCTTTCAAGTAAATCCATACCCACTAACAGCAGTGTCCAGTGAAGCAGGATGTCAATGGATGGGGTAAAAGGGTGGACCACTGACACAAATCACGTAACCAGAACTGCCGAAAGGGGCAAACATGCCCAAAAAGGGGGCATGTCTGCCCAAATAATTTGAAGGACAGTCTGGCATGAACAGGGCCGTTGCAAGGATTTTTTCCGCCCTAGGCAAAAGTAAAGTTTGCCGCCCCCCATGTGACATCACAATGCCCCACCCATATGATCTGACATGTTAACTAACGCCAGTGCTGCAGTGCCGCCGTGTTTACATTAAAAGGCCTGCAGGGACAGGCTATAGACACCAGAACCAATACATTAAGCTGCAGTGGTTCTGGGGACTATAGTGTTTCTTTAATGTGAGGTAAATTAGAGATTAGTGCCACGAATAATATACTAGATTGCCTACTTACAACCAGATGAGGATGATGATGGGCTCTGGCTGCAGTCTGGCTCCACTGGTCTGGTGTAGAACAGGCTCTCTGGAGGCTGTAACTGTGGTCACAAAAATCAATGTTCTGGGAGAACGGGAAGCAGCTCCATTTTTTGGGGGCCCTTTACACAGCTCAAGGTCTGGGTCCCAGGGTCCACCTTCATGTTCCACCAATGAGTTTGTTTACAGGGGGTGGAGTGTGTAGGGCATGTCCTGATATGTGTGTAAGGAATGCATCATGTGAATCTGGGTTTGTATGTGTAAGGGCTGCAAGGTGTGTTTCTGTGTATGTACGGGATGCAGTGTGTGCGTCTGTAAGGGATGCATTGTGTGTAAGGGTTGCATTGCTTGTGTGTGTGTGCCTGTGTGTGTAATGCATTGTGTGTTTTTCTGTGTGCAAGGGGTGCACTGTGTGTGTGATGGATGTCAATGTCAATCTCCCCCCTCCCTGTCAATTCCTTTCTCCCCCCTCCCCTACCTCTGTAACGTGGCCGAGCTCTGTATGGTCCGCGGGTACAGGGAGCTTTTGTTTCCTGTACCCAGCCGGACTAAAAGGAAGTGCACACTCCGTGTTAGCCCGGCCGTGTACAAGAGACAGATGTTCCCTGTATCTGCGGACCATACAGGGCTCGGCCACGCTACAGTGAGGGAGGGACAGGAGGGAGCGCTGAGTGACAGAAGGGAGTGCTGAGCGCTTCCTTCCTGTCAGCCACTCTCCTCATGCTGCGCCCTCATGGACTCACCAGCCCGGGCAAAGCTGCAGCCGCCCGAGGCTCTCTGCAGAGTGCTCGGGCGGCTGCAGCATGAGGGGGGGCGGTGCTCCTGGCGGCGCCCCTTCCCAAGGGGCGCCCCAGGCGGCTGCCTAGTCCGCCTAACAGGTAGCGCCGGCCCTGGGCATGAATGCATGTCAGGCTGCCTGCCAGTCATGCAGGCTGGCCAACTAAGGGCATACTATGCAGTCGGCACCCTGAGCCTGGCATGAATGTGTCCAATGATGCACTCGCTCCACTCTTTCTAAGGACTGTCCCCTAGCACTCGCTGGTCCACTTGTCTCCTTACCTTCTTACTAGCAGGCAGAAGCTCCTGTTATACAGTTTAGGACAGAGAAAAGGTGGATGTAGTGAGTGTAGAAGAAAGGGGACATGCCACAGTGTTAGAGAGACTAAAGTCTGCATTACCTAAACTAATTTCAATGTCAGCCAGTCCACACAAGTTTTGTTCCTATACATTCCTCTTATGTTTCCATACTTAAGCAAGAGTATGTGAAGAGTAGCTAGGATTGCCACCTTTCTTGGAAAAAAATACAGGCCTTACTAATTCGCATAATAAATTTTGTATGCGTGACATCAGAGAGAATTCTGTAAAATCACCAAAAAACGGCTTACAGTTTGATTCTACTCTACATATGGATTGCTCTCAGTCTCCCAGTGTATTAATGTCCCTATGTATCACAATGTCCCCATGTCTCCCAGTGTCCCTTATGTCACTGAGGACACTGGGAGACATTGGGGCACTGTGAGACATGGGGACACTGACACACTAGGGGATCTGGGAGACACCAAGGACACTGAGACAGTAGGGGTACAGGCTGGGAGACATGGGGACACTGAGAGACTAGAGCCACTAGGTGACATGGGGCCACTGTGTCCCTAGTGTCTTGGGGTCCACATGTTCTCCAGTGTCCCAATGTCTGTCCCCAGGTCTCTCACCGTCCACGTCTCACAGTTACCCCTAGTGTCTGTGTCCCCATGTCTCC